TCATTTGCTTATGTTTTTCCTAGTACCGTTTCTTCCTTTTAGCGTGAATTTTACTGCTCTATTTTTCTTATAGAAGAAAGTGCATTAGCAAGTTTTTTTTTTTGGATAAATGAAAGGTGTTAAACTCAAAACCTCCTATTTATAATCTTTTTTCCTTATCACCCAATTCAACCCTCCGTTCGTGCATTGGCAAGTCGATTTCTCGTCAGTTGTGATTTGTATCCTTTTTTCGTGGAAACGGACCGTGCGTATTTCTTTCTAACCAAATCATTAATCAAATTAAGGGAATGATAATCCTTTTTGTTGCAACGTATACATCTCACCTAATAGAGCCCATTTTGATTTGTGGTTACTAAGTTTATTGTATTAAATTGAAAATTTGACAAATTCAAGAATCCGATAAATCCATTTATTTTTTATTATAAGTGGGATTCAAGACCTCCCACTTACACTCTCTCTTCCTGTATCACCAATTTGTTTGGATAGTGTATTATTTGAAATACTATTTGGAATAATTACTGTAGCACTTTTTGTGATGTGATGTATGTGAGATAAAAAGGTGATTGGGAATATAAAAAGGTGGGTTGAAAAATGTGTCTATGATGCAAGCGAAATATTATTTGGGATAATTGGGGTATCCGAACAAATGTATTTTTTTGAGGGGATAATTAAAAATTAACCCCAACTCTATACCATGTCCATTTCTTCTCAACTACCAGGCTTTTCCTGCCTCTCTTCCTCCTCTCCCAAAATTGAAAATCTTGATTTGGGTTTATTACTTGTCATCCTATAATTGGTCGTCTTTACTTGCAATATATTATCAGTGCTACCGCATTATAGTAGTATATTTCCAAAGTCTTATATTGATTAGCTAATATTTTTTGCGTACAATTAAGTTGAAAAACTTGTTTTTTTTTTCCCTACTCTAGCTACCTCACTAATCCAAAATAATGGCTTCTTGAACTTGAATTCAACTCAGAAAGGGGATTCAAGGCTTTCTATTCCATGGCTTTGTATAAAGGGATTCAATTAAGATGCTTTCTTGAATGTACAATATACTAAGAGAGACAAATGAGCCTGCAGGCATAGTCTGGAACATTTGGATATTTGATTTTCAAATGTGTATGCTGTATAACAATGATTATTTACTATATGTGCAAGTTTAGCAATTAGTTTTGGCAAGTTCAATTTTTTCCCTCATGAGATCATTAAAATGACTTTATGATACAAAAATTTTCAATTGCACACATTTGGCCTCTAACATGTTTTTTTTTTTTTTAAATACTAATATGTATATCACAATAACTTAGTGTATTGCTCATTTGATAATCGAATTTCTGAACCTGATTTATTGCTTTTGGATTCATTTAAACAAATTTTATTAATCTAAAATAATTCAAAAAAAATTGTGTACTTAAAACATTAATATTTGAATATGCACAAGTGACTTGAGATGTTTTTTAGGTTTGGCACCATTTTATTAAAATTTATTCATTATTTATCAACTAATTACAGTAAAGTGTTGTCTTGCATGTGCTTTTGGCAATTTAGTTCAGGAATTGAAATGCTGATATGACACCAAAAAAAAAAAAATTTATCATCAGCCCAAAAAAAAAATGCTTCTGTCATCCGAATTTGAAAAATAGTTTTACCAGAAAAAAAATCATACAAGAAAAATGAATCTGCACTCCCATTTTATAGAGAGTTGACATGGTCCTTAATGGGCCTTTTCACCTCTCGCCTGGGCAGACTTTCCGTGTCAATATCTTTTTTGGGGCTAGAGCTTTTATATTCTCGTCCGGGCTTAGTAAAGACTTGTTTTGGGCTCAACAAAAACAAACTCATTCCTCGTGGATCCATTAAAATAAGCATGTCACGGATGGGTTTGGCAGGCAGGGTGAGGCTGGACAGATGCATCAATAATCACCCGCAGGAGGGTTGTTTGGTGATTGTTCCTTGCAATGTACAGAGTATTGCAGACATTGTACACACTAACAAACAGAGAAATACAAAACAATTCAGGTTGTAAATTTTGAGCAATATTTGGTCAGAATTGAGCACATGACTTTTTTTTTTTTTTTTTTACTGTTAACCTTCCAAAAAAATCACATTCTTTCTTAGCTTTTTTGCTCTGCTGATTTTTTTTTCCCTAACAGAAGTGGGGTGGAGTTTAAAAAGCGGAAAAATGGCAAGGAGATTTGAATCAGGACCTCAGGATTGAAAAAAAAGGAGAATCATTCCAGGTAAGAAAGGGGATTAGAACTTCTTTAATTCTAAAAGAATCATTCAAAAACTTGTCCTGCTGATTGGCTTGTTTTTTGCTGAAAAAAAAAAAGAAAAGAGAGAGGTACAACAAATGCTCTAGAAATCCTTTTTCAAGGTAAGAAAGGGGATTACAATTTCTTCAATTCTAAGAGAATCATTCAAAAACTTGTCTAACATAGGTTATATTAATGATTACTTAACATGTATGGTACGCAAGCAATCTAGGAGATGCATTTTCCTCAATGTTCATGTTACCAACTGGTAGATGTTTTCTCGAAAGAGATATATAAAGTCGTGGAAAATGGTTTTATTGGATGAGTGAATTAGTTGTAAAAGAAGTCGGATTATATCATCCAATCCTGTAATATGAGTTGTTGTAACGATCATTCTTGTTTGCTCCATGTAACTCGTAACTCAAAGAAATTAAATGATTTTTATGTGTGCCAAAAAATTTGTCCCTACAAGCTAAAAATATCAAATTACTGCAATAGGTGCACTAAACGATATTTCCAAAGCCAAAGAGAGAGAGCTGCTAATTTGAAATACGTTTTGGGTAATGGGTGCCTATTTAAGAGGAGTTTCAGGTGTTAAGTTTTTTTTTAAAAAAAAATACATTAATTTATAGAAGTATCTAAATACAACAGAGTGTAACGATTGTAATCGTGTGTAAGTGAGAAGCCTTGAATCAGGACCTCTCACTTACAATTCGTCTCCCCCTCCCCGTTAAATATAATTTAAATGTGCTAATGAGTGTCCTATTAGATTAATCATTTGAAATATGCGAAACGTACTTTTTTATATATACATTTTTTATAGTAAGTATCTTGAATCCAACATCTTCTACTTACGATCCTTCCTATCTTATTACCTAACCTAACCCCTCTCTCGTGCTTAAGTTACTTTCATGCTCTAATACAATATCCATCCTAACTGCAATTTACAAAAACAATAAGTAGCTATACTACTCCAACATTACAAGAACCCAAAAAAAAACAAAAAAAGAAAAACCCCATTACAACCCTGTAAACTAGAACAAAAAATATTCTTTGGTTATCCCTAGCCTACCAAAAAAAAAAAGAAAAAAGGTTACGTGCATGAGACCTAGTCTTGTGGTCATGGACCACGCCACAGTCCTGAATCCACCGTCCTTGGCACAAAGCCAAGAAAGGCCATCCAAATGAAGTCAAAACTATATGTTGGCTTGGTATTGCTGTTTATGCAATTTTTATATCTTGTCGATCGCATTGTTTAGATTGATGATGGTATAAGATCCTCCGGATGATGAAAATGAATGCTCTTTTCTGGAGCCTAGTTAATAATAATAATATTGGACTAAATTACAAAAACAACCGCATATTGCCGGTTCCCTTGCTTAGCTGGCGGCTGCTCGGCCACGGGGCATCTACCAAACACGGCCCTCTTTTGTCCCGTCGCCCCATTAGTCAGCATCATCAATTCAAGGCCGCTCTTTACTAGTGGCATATAATGGTTTAGTTACATTTTATCCCCTACATTGTTCACTATTATCCATTTATCATCGATGAACTTTCAATTTTAGCATTGTACTACCTTAAACTTCTGATCTCTTGCAAGGTAATGCAACGAGAAAGTTGGTATTGGAATTTGGATTGCCTTCATGATTCCAATTTGTGTAAGCACTGTTGCTCTGGTGAAGTTCCTAAACTGTCATTCTTACCATGGTTGTCTACCGACCAAAAACTTGAGTAGATTCAATTTTTAAAAATTCAACGATTCAGATTGTGTTATACCATTTGATAATGGTATGGCACAATTTGGATCATTTGATCTTTAAAGATCAGATTTATTCAACTGTGAGCCGTTGCCTAATTACTTATTTTCTCTTGTGCATATAAATAGTGCTGCCTACGTTTAAAGAAATGTCAAATTTGAGAAATTAAGGTTTTTTTTAATAAATAGCAAATCTATTTTAAAAATTATAGCATACTTTTCTTTCCCTTTTTTTTTATCAGACGGCAACAGCTAGTCTAGTTTAGATCTACTCTTACTCTAGTCTACACTAAGGAGGGAGAGAGGTCTAACGAGGTCTAGAGAAATCAATGGAGACGGAACTATCATCGGATCAAATGGGTGCACTACGCACTCGTATGGATTTCGAAGAAGCCATATATAGTGATATATTAATGGGAGACAAGATTTGAACGTTTGACCTTTCACCTCACAAAGAATTCAAGTTTTGGTGGTGGCCAACAGTCCAAAGTACTGTTGGTTTATAGCATACATTTCTAGTTTATCCATGTTAGGTTGTTGCTAGAATTAAAACACTTGAGAATCATGGGTTCATGATGATTCATATTAATTAAAAGTGGTTATAACCAATGGTACATGCAACCAAGCCTTGAGGAGCTTTAGTGCAGGTGAGTGTCATTTGCCTCAAAAACTGGTTAATTTAATTTTACTTTCTAGTAATTAATAAGCATAAAAAGTACATATATTTTTTCTTCACGAGTGACTGCAAAATTCATTTGGAAATTACACAACTATTTCTTTGCCATTTCTTAAACTCATGAATGGTAAACCAAACTGAATACTTCGTTATAGTATTGCAGTTACACTACTTTGCTAAAAATTTGAGGTACTTAAATACTACAACTGACACCTTACAAACTAAAATACCAGTTTTAAAGAGTTAAGGGGAGCAAAATGCAATTAGTCCAAATAAGGCAGCATACTTCTGAACTTGTAATAATTCCAACTCCAATTCCAAGTCCACTTCCCTCGAAGAAAACCGCCGGGAGAATTACAGCACACCTTTCCAACTTCCATGTTTTAAATCTTTCTTTGTCCATCGAAGAAGTTGCTTTCACTCATCTTTTCATACTTTTTCCTCCTTAATATTGAAAACCCATCAATATTCTTTCGTCATTTTTTATGCTTGGAATTAGTAATATTTCAGCTATTTATCATCATATAGACATATATGTTCGATTTTGGTGATGAATTTGTGATTGAGAGCCAGAGTGTTCCATGGCTTATATGGGCTCAGTTACTTGTCACGATTCTTCTTGTTGTTATACTTTTTTTTGGATTCAGCATCTTTGCTTTGGATCGATTCAGCAATCCCTCCTGCAGCTCAGCATCTTCTTCCTCTCAATCCCATGGCAAAGACGCTTTGCTCAATAAATCCAGCTCTTCACATGGCTCTAAGGTTTGTTCAACTTAATCTCTTTTCTTGTCTTTACATTTCTGATGCCAAATCTATTCTTTTCAGTATTTCCTCCTCATTGAATATCCTTTTTTTTTTTATTTCTGTTTGTTTTCTTCCATTACTACTTTTGGTGTAGTTGCCAGGAGGGAATTGAGATTGAAAGATTGCTGAGTAGCAAAGTTAGGACATTTCTTGATTTAATTTGCCCCGTAGTTTTTTTTTGCAGCTAAATTTTTTTTTCGTAAAGCAACATGACATTGGAATAAATTTAGGTACTATATTTGGTTGGCGAAAGTGGTCAATTATTGTTGCTGCTTTTTTCCGTGGGCTGTGAGTAGGGATTTTGGGAAGCTTTTAGATTTTTTTTTCGAGGTGGTGGTGGTGGTTGTGTGGGGTTGGGAGTTTTAATTATTCAAAAGAAAAAGTGGTAAACGTGTTGAAGGATGGCATATGTAGTAAACATGGTGGTTTGACCAAAATTTTGTACATTATAACCTGGAATTTAATGAGGTAGCCTGGGAAGTAGAAGTTTCACAGAAGGAGCTTATGGAGTCAAGACTGAGATAATGGATTTTCAGGGGGTCAATAGTTAGAAAATTCTATCTTCAGAAAATTGCCGGTGGCTGTGTAGTTCTTATTAAAAAGTATGAGCCTTTTTGTTGGGTATCTGCAATACAAATCAAACTGCATTTAATAATTGCTAAATGAGATTTTTAGAGGTAATTTCCATTGGCAAAAGTCATAATTAGGACAAAGAAAAGGATATCTTGTCTTAGTGGAATGGAACATACTTTGAGTGTTTTTATTTGCTGGAATATGTTGAAAATAGTGATCTGCTTTCCTATGTGGTACAAGCTTGTCTATGAATCTAGCTGATCACTACTGATAAGGTATTAAACTTTTCAAGAAGTTGAAATAGCTTTTACTGTTCTGTTTGAAGTACTTCAAGATATTGCTTTATCTGATGTCTTTCCGATTTTGCCTCTGTTTTTTGTGAATTCCGAATAGAATATTTCCACTGTTTTTTGAAGTTTTGAATATTTGTGGCTAATCACGAATGGCTTAAGCAGTCCGATTCCAACTGGACAACTCTATATCGTAATAATTTCTTACTTTACAATGCCTTTAATGAAATCTACCTTTTTTTAAAAAAATAATAATTTCAAGTGTTAGTTGAACAACCGACGGTAAAGGAAAACTCAGAATTATATATAAGTTCCTTTTGTGCATGGTGTTACTAAAATGAAAACGTGTTCTAACTTTAGACATGCGGCTTCCAAAAAATTGGGAATTTTTAGGACTAACATAATGTACAACTCTAAAAGTGTAACCAGTTACAGAAAACGGCTAACATATATACAGGTTATAGAAAAGTAATCAATTTAACTTGAGCCAAAATTGGAAAAATATATTTTTATAAAAGGTGACAAAAAAAATTTTTTGGTTGTTATTGTGGTGAAATCAGGCCAATAGAAGCTGTTCTATTTGCATTCTGAGCTATTTTCTAGAAGAGAAGTTTATAGATCCTAAGCCATGTTAGATTGTAGCTTGTTTTATTCCTGTAATGTTTTCTTGAGAGGTACTAGTTGATCACTGACCCATGGTACTGTTGCCTGCTGTGGAAACCATCTTTTTAGTTGGGAGGTATTGAAGCAGAAAACTTCTTCTCAGAACATTATTGAAGAAAAGCTGAAATTGGGTTAAAAATAGTAGAAGAAACAAGCTGTAGTTTAAAATTTTCTGTCTAGTCTTGACAATCACTGATTCTACAGGTCACCTACCTTTTTTTTTCTTTGATGAAAATTGTAGTTTTCATTTTGACGGTCATTAAAGTGTACTTATTTTATATTGATTGTGATTTAATTTTCTTTTTTTTTTTCCAACAATTGGAGATGTGTGCCTGTTTTTTTCTTGAATCCCTTGTCCCAAATAGCCGAGAACTGAACAGGCATGCTTGACCTTTTAAAAAAAAAAGAAAAGAAAATCTTTCTCCTACAAGAAACAAGAAGAATAACTGCTATAGAAATTAAAATTTTTGCTACGACATGAAAAGTGCTTGAAGTTGTTGAACTAATAAGTTGACCAACTGCTGTAGTTACATGCTTGTTTCTGTTTAAATGCTTAAGAATGAAAATAGTGGATTACAGATAAAATAAAGGTGGCAGCATCTATTCTCTTTTTAATTTTCAAATTGGACAAGTAAAGAATTGTGAACATGACTTCTTACTGAGAATGTGAAATGAATAGAACCTCACAACCAAATAACCTACTAAACCAAGACATTTGTGAGTTTAATTTCTCTCATGATCTAGGACATTCCAGAACTTGTTTCATAAAATATCTCTCATATATAAACACCATCAAACACAACTCCTCATATGTTGAATGCTCAAGTATATAGGGACTTTGCAACTTAAACCAAATGCTGAAACTAAGCATAACTGAGCATCCTGAGTATTGTCATGTAGCAATTAAATCGTTTCCTATAACATATAGCACTACTATTGTTGTCATATAAGGAATTACTTGCTTAAGGCAAGGAAAGTTGATATTGCAGTCAGTGAGCAGATGCATGATTAAAATGGTTGTCTTTGATAAGAAGAGTTGTTAGCTATAATCAGCTATTTGCACTATTTCGTTCCGGACATCCTTCATGCTATTTGTATGACTAAACCTGAAGTTCCAGCTCATAATGCATGTCTATGTAGTTTTGATCCAAAGAAAGGCTTATGAACTTAGTGTTTCCTGCAGGTTGAAGAAAGTCAAAGCATTCAAAGGGAGACGGAGGCAAGTGCATATAAAGCTACCATAGGAGAAGAAATTGAAGAAAGAGATGAAGCGTCAGTAAAGGATATAGCCCTTCTGAGGCTTTTGGGACAGGGAAACCACCCCTGCCATTATATGAATCTTGCTAAACAGGCTATTCTCAAGTGTTTTGGCTTAGGTTATACCTCTGAGAGATCTCACAGTTGTAAACATCGAAAGGAAGACTAAGGTGTGCCGTGTGCGCTCTCTCTCTCTCTCATGCACGGCTCATCCACATTAATGAACCAATGGTGCTTTCCATCTACCTAATTGTCTATATCACACGGATATTCTTATGCTGGAAAAATGCACATCACCTATTGGTTTGCTTGTTCCTTGGTCCAAATGAAATTTAAGATTGAGCATTGATGTTTGGACATTTCATTCTGGACCAGGTCAATATGTCACAAAATAAGAAAAATGTCGAAGTATAAATTTAAAAATAAGATGTAGTATTTTTGAAACTTTTGAAAATTTCAACACGGGCATAAAGGTCAGCGCTGTATGCACTCTGCTTGAAGCTTTTAGCTACGAGTAGGATGGAGTTCTAGGAAAAAATGGTTAAGACTGCAGACAGCATGAGCCACTGAACACTTGGTTGAAAGAATGTTGTTCCCTATTAGTTGGTCAGATTTTATCTTGATTTAATAGATAGAAGTTCCATAGAAAGTAAAGGGATATAATGCAGAGGGGACTAGTAGAGAAGTTTACTAGAAGTAGAGACAAAGATGACTGGACATTTCCTATGCTTATGTTGAAGCAAGGAATTGAGCTTCTCTTTTCTTAGCTAGACTTGGTTCTTTTGCAGGAAAAGATTGCAGTCAGTCTTGGGCGGTGGATGGATTAATCCAAGTAGAATTAGCTGTTGTCAATTGTACGAATTTGTAATCCATATTCACATCTCACTGTAATTTGGCTCCAGAAACTAGCTAACTCTAGTACGTTTATTGAGAACTCAGCAATCTAATTAATCTATGGCTGCTGTCTATTCAGGAAGGACAATTTGTCATTTGTTAATTTGTTGGGAAAGAGTGCATAATTGCAGCCCTTCTGCTTCTGCTGTTTTAACCAATTTCTCTTTTGATCTTTATGCCTGGTGAAGAACAGCAAATGGAGAGTTTCTGTTTGGATTTTTATTTTTAATTTTATTTATTAAGCCTTTTTGTTTACGCATCCCATCTCTCTCTCTCTTGTAGTATGATTGAAGAATATATATATATATATATATATATATATATATATATATATATATTCAAAATCAGAAAGCAAAAATTGAAGTACTTGAGGCTAACTAAGGAAATGCTGACTCATCAATTTAAAATTCAATTTTTTTTGGACACTCGATAACACATCTAAATTTTGCCTGTATATATAGCGTTAACAATTATTATCCTCTCGTGCATTTATACACTTTTTCTAAATTAATCTTACATTTTCAATAATTTAACACTCATCAATAATTTTCATTATCAGTACTATCATTATTGAGGGAAAAAACTGTACATGACATGATCTTTATTGTTCAGTTATTTTACAATACAGTAACAAGGGGCATGGAAATAAGGCTGGTCTTGTAGAAATGTAGAGGAAGTATCATAACAGGAACAAGAGGTATAAGGGCTGAGACGATTCGATGGAGATTTTTCTACTAATGACTCTGGCCAGGCTTCGTCTTTATTGGAGGTCTTGAAGGCGCAGCTCGCAGAGTAGTCTCCTGTTGAAACAAGATTCAGATTCAAAGTGACCAACCTAGAATATGAACTATTCTTAGCATTATAATCATCTCATTACAAGAAAATAGACTAGACTATTTAGGGTTGTGAAAAAGCGCCATAGATAATTTATAGTGGTGGTATTCCGACACTAGAACGAAGCGCCATTGTAAGTCGTATAGAAAAAAATCACGACACTGTCAAAAGTATCATAAAAATTTTGATAGCACTTAATCGTGAAATACTTATTTGTTCCACAACTAAATTTTAAAAATTGTGATGCTAAATATGTTAAGAGTTTCGAAGACTTCACTTTTTTGTAAGTAAATTACTCACCAAAAAAAGAGAGAGAGAGAGAGAGAACCTAGCCCACAATTTATTTATAAGTAATTCCAGTTTGCTACAAGGTGCTTCAAATCCCTAATGGCTACCCAGGGCATCATTAGCTGTGACTGCTAAAACTATTGGTTCACCCAAATAAAAAAAAAAAAAAAAGTCATTATGAAAAATAAAACAAGTAAAATAGGTGGATGTTCGTACTGCTGCAGTGGGTTCAATGGCAGAAGGGTTTTCCTCTGACCCGGGAATCTTCTTCTGGAGACCCAAGCATTGAAGCAGTTTTTGGAAGTCAAATGGAAAGCATCGAGAAGATGAATCATCATTTGCCATCTTTATGAATTTCCTCAGATTACCTTTCCTCTCTGTAATGCGACTGTGTTGTATTATTCTTGAACTATGGTCTATATATTGCTGTGGGATTTGTTCTTCTAAGCAAGAAAATCGCCATAATGTGATGTGCAATAAATGTTAAACATATGAAGTTGATTTCGTGTAAAATTGAGAATTAACATGATGCACGTTTTTACTTGCTTTCTCTATAATATATGTTGCTTGAATTTTGCAGTCATGTGATTATGTCGACCTAAGTTCATTTTTTTTTTGACAACATTAATTACAAGGAGGTTGTCCTTGTAGATCTAATGCAATTAAAAAATCTAATCAAAAAATGATAAGAATTACAATTCAATAACGATACAAATGAACCCGTAAATAGTAAAAAAAAGAAAAATTTCACGCGTAATGAAATTTGAACTCAGAATTTCTAACTCGTGAAATCTCAACTTTAGTTCAAACATCGTTACTAAGGAGGTGGAATAAAATCAATTCTCATTACAATATATTCGAAGTCATAATCCTAAGATTCATTAGATCTTCGTACCTTCATATTCTTTTATGTGCAGTCGAACAAGAAAGTTGACGATCATAGACTGAGTCTCTGAAAATGCCATTTGCTGACACAGTTAGTACCCCACTGCCACTGGCTTATATACACTGCCAAAGTTGTGGGAAATTATTCTTTTTTTTTTTTCCTAATTACTTCCCTGAAAATTTTAAAGCAAATTTTTAGTGAATTTGGTATGTGTAAGTTTCTTAAGCTGGAAGTTATAATAACTCGATATAGTTATTACGTCTCCACTTCAATTGTCCAATGGATATATACAATAAATATGGTACAATAAAAACATAGGACAAGTGTCAGTTTATAATATTGTGTAGTATCAAGAAGTGTAAAAGAAGATAGAATATCCTTACCAATCCAAGTCATGGATATTTGAATAATATTTTAGGGTTAGTACAATTATTGCTGGTAATTCTTGATTTCTTAGTGCTCAAAAGATTCCTTGCAACTAATCAAGAAGTTTGATCAGTGACACAATAGAGACTCAATGCAAGAGTTTTCCAACATTTTTGAGAACAATGCATGGGAAAAACAGGTGATTTTCTTAATTCTTCCCCTTCTCTATTAATTCTCTAGATTATTATTTTGCCCTCCAACAACCAAGATGTGATACCATTGTAAATCTCACCACTTGGGGTTGGTTTGCTATCGTGACACTGTAGCTGGAGAAGGCAATCATGCATGCAGGAATGTTCAGCTCATGTTTATTTGATTAGAAAAAGGCCAAAACAATTTACAAGTTAATACCAAAATTTCTGTCATATATATATACATTGGTCTCATGTAAATATGATAAGAGCTTGGGGTTCACTGTCAATGATAGTATTGGTATTAACTTGTGAATTGTTTCTCCGATAGAAAAAAATTTGATCTCTGATAGTATCGCTAATTTTTGAAAAGAAAAAACATTGGTACACACAATTATTTCCGGGACTATTTTAATTGCCTACATAATTAAGAGTACAAAAATTAAGAGTACCTCCCAAAAGTCATCGAGAACCAAACAATCAGTATCTGTAAAAGGTTGGAACAACTCCACCATTTCTGATTCTTTTAGGCGCCACTTTTTCTTGTTTATTTCATGAATTATAAACTATAGCATAATTAATAATGCAAGTTGTATATTGTAACCAACATTTTTGTGATTAAACAGTAACAACATGTAATGGATTTGTCGTTTTAATATTTTTAAAGCACCTAACTAAATTGGATGTCCTGGTGAGGCCAAAGACTAACGTAGTATAAATGCAGACTTAGATATTTGGGACAGGAAAACGGCACAAATTTCCACAAAAGAGACACAAAATGGCTCCTTCTGCATACTCCAGTTCTTGCTCTTGCCTTCCACTTGGCATCAAGAATCTGCTTCAGTGCTTGGGTTTTGATTCTTTTGAGACAAATAGGCCCAGCCATGAACATGTAAGGTTTAATTTTTTTCTGGGTGATCAATGTATATGTGTGTGTATATGTTTGTATGTATTCAATTTTGATCGCTAATGGTGTCAATAATTGCATATTTAGCAGGAAGATGACACTAACAAAAGACACCCTAGGCCTTGTAAGAGAAGGAATCCTGAGAGACCAGCTCCTGCAGTAGGGGGACCTGGCCAGACTAACAAGGGGGAGGGAAAGTTCTGAGAGATGCTCTACAGAATTTGTTCACGTACAATTGCTTTTTTGCATTTATATTGTGTAGATGTGAAGAAAATTTAGCAAAGGCTAGATGCTTTGCATTAAAATGTACTTTTCAATTCAATAAACACTTGGCTATATGTTACATTGTACCATGTAATCTCCAATTTGTTCTTCGTGCTTTTTGTATTTGAAAAGTTTTACATTTTTGGTGTTACCCCAATTAATATTTGTGTTCAATTTTTGGTACAAGGAAGAATTTCTTAATTGTCAAATCGCATAATGATAAAGTATTTGAACATGGTTGTCAAAGAATCAATGAGGCTTCATCCTGTGCCAGGCACCACTACTGCTCCCCCATAAGAATCAATGCAGGATTGCACAGTCGATGAATTCAATATTCAGAAAAAAGTGCAGATCATCATCCACACACACAAAAGATTTCCAACTTTTACCATGCGGCTGAGGCAGAAGAAGTTGCCCAGGTTTGCAACTGGGGCTCACTGTTGTTGGTTTTTTGCTAGCACAATTGGTGCATTGCTTCAATTGGGAGTTTGCTGATAACATTCAGCCAACAGATTTGGATATGTTTGAGGTTTTTGGTATCGTAACATCAAGAGCCAAGCATTCGAAGATCATTCCAGCTTATCGATCGCGCACAAGTAATCAGAGTGCTTCGGAGCTAGCCCAAGTTTCAATTCTGATATTACAACCTTATCGACATGCATTAATCTATAGATAATCATTGGATATTCCTTTGCAGTCTAGTTACTAGTGGATCTTTACGTAGCAGTATTGCCTGCAGTATTACATCATCGTTTATCTATATCTTGTGGGCATTTTGCCATGTAATTTTGAGCATCTATTGTATCATATAATATATGTACTAACACAATGATGTAGACGCTATAACGATAAATGTGAATGCTAAGGATGAGAAAAATCATCAAAAATTTTACCACCACTCACTAAAGATCATTAACCACAACTCAAATCAGCTTCATCTGTGCCATCCAATTGTTTTTTTACAATTAGTCAGCCAATTACAAAGAATTCCAACCCAATAAGATCATGTTTGTTCCTGTGTTGAAGGTATTATCCCTATCTCGAATTGAATCCTTAGATGAATGGCTCATATAATGTGCGCAATTAGTTTCCAACGTGTGTTATGAGGGATTCTAAAAGTAATGCCATAAGATTTTGAATTATATGCTACTAACAACTTGGCTAAAGGCATTTTTTGCTATTTCTATTAGCAGCAGAAGATGCCATAAAAGTTTTGAGACTGAAAATTTTTCCCTAAGATACATTGTTCAATTCGGTGGTTAACAATTGAATTCACTCCCCATTTTATTGCAGAACAACTTCATTCCTAGTATGCTTTCAATTTTGGTTGGTGTGAAATTCCCCTAAACGTGTATGTGGTCCTCAGTTAGTGTTTCCTGAAATAAATTTTCTGCATGCGCCTGGAAAGCAAAATAATAATTACAGCAGGTAATAGATAATGATGACGATCGACAATTTCAACATAAATTGAGGGGAAAGAGATGTGTTTTGTGTGGGTGATTGTATATTTTTCTTAGTTTGTTTCGCTGTACCCTTTGAAAAGAAGTTGAAGAAAAAAGTATTGGAAGTGAATCAGAAAAAATATAGTAATGGCTGATTTTGCAGGAATCCTTTGCATTCGTTGGGTTCAAATTACGAGTAGATTTTTTCTCAAATGCTTTGGCTGGCATGATTATACCTTCAACAGTACATATCCACCAAGAGATGAAGATCAATAACCTTTCTTGGACTACTAAAGAGGTATATCTCCAAATATATAGCCGAAATCTTGTAGTAACATATGCATTATGTTCATTAGCATTAACCAATTTTGTAGGATATCATTAACGGGCATTTGATAATATTAAATAGGAAGAAGGTCTTCCAAGTGAAACAATTAGTTCAAGAACTCTTGCTGCATCACCTCCTAGGCCACCAATAGAAAGAGGGAATGGAGGTCAAACCAACTGATATTTTATCCTCCATATAAGTCTGAGATTAAATGAGGATGATTATCTACTAGTTCTTCTCTTTGGATGTTTCTTATATTGTGTGCTTTTAAGGGGTGAATATTATGAAATATGATGTGGGACAAGATCAGTGTGAAGCTGCATATTTTGATGACCATCTGCTATTCATATTGAAGGTTCAAGAATTGCTGTGGAGTTCGTCTCTGTGGTTTTTTGTCTAGTCTAGCCAAAAACAAGTTCAGTTTGCACTGAAAATTACTGTTATTTTTGTCATCATCAAGATGGTAGATCATTTTATGTATTTTGTTGTTGAAAATTTCCTGCAGTAGTTTGTATGTTGTTTGACAGTTATTCCAATAATCTTCAAGTGTGCTAAGTCTAAAATTGTCATTAATTGTCGCTATTTTTATTTTTCGAGTAATACTGGTTGGACCGATATTACTGCTATAGAAAAAAAAATAATTTAGAAAAATTTGTTAAAATAACACCATAACACTTTGCCTTATATAATGTTTGTAAACTAAAGTCAAGTCATTTGTTGTCAAACTTGAATCAAAGTCACCTTTTACTCGGAGAGGAGGACTGGATTGGATGATAAAGTGAAAGAAATTGTAAATTAGAGATTTTGGATCCAAACGATAACGTACGTCTGCAGAGTTTTGACAATTGAAGTTTATATTGATGGATATTCTTGGGTTATACTGCACCACCATTGATGGAGAGAAAGAAATAAGCGTGTACAAGGAGTTGAGAACAGGTGTACGAAGCAAGCATAAGAAATTCCTAACTCCATATATAACAGGTCTCAGTTCACCTTAGTACAGCTTATGTTCTGATTCTCAGAATCACTCTTAACTAGAGTCTCTTCATACTACTGAATACAAAAACTTCTTCTAGATATGGTACGAAATTCTGCTGTTTAACAACAATGAGGACGAAGGCTAAGAAAATACTAGTTGGGTATTGAATTATCTATATGCATTCGAAATTCTATATAGTGAAATACTGCAGTTAACAAAGATCAGATTGCTGTCATGCAAAATTTTAAGCCAATTGTATTACTCCTTTGCCTCGAGATTACCGTAAATAAACAAATTTAAGTACAGGACTTTTTTAACGGGTATTCAATGGACATTCATTAACACACAGAAATTATACACACACATGACTTATCATGAACATATCCACACTAACAATTATTACCCTCTATTGTATTTATACACTTTTTTAAAATTAATTTTATTTTTAAAAATTTAACACATAAAATACATCTTAAAAAGTATCTATTAGACACTTGTTAGACAACTTGAATGTAAATGCCAAGATGTTGACAGATTTGTAGGCATTGATTAATTACCATAATCGCATGTGGATTATATTCTTTGATGGGATAACTTCAGGACCCATCCGAATATCATCGTTTCAATGATGGACAGAGGATGCTTCAGCTGTTAAAACTTCCCCTTAATTTTGGCATCAAGAAAGAATGCCAAAAGCAACTTAACCAAAAAAAGTGGGCAATTAAACAAAATATTACTGAAACTTGTTATTGAGGCCTGTAGTTTCGCAAGAAACCTGTAACAAGGTATCCCTAATTTTTTCATGCTATACTTTTTTCCCGGAATCGATAACAATTATATAACTTATTCTATTCTAAACTACAGTAGAGAAGGAGTCTAAAGAGACGTGTGTTAGGGACTAACAGGTATACAGACCTTACTAGATCAAAGGGATGCTTTGGCACCACCCTTGGATTTTTTTCGCTGCAGGTGAGAGTTGAATCCCCACCTATAGCCCAAGGAGGAACTTTAAGACCCTTTTCATGCTATACAATGGAGGAGAAAATTTCCCAACATATATATCATTCCGGCATTCCCCAACAACCACACACACAAAAAAAAAACAACCAAAATCAGTACATCTAGGATCAGAATTAAGCAAATCCCCTTTCTCTCTCCTTTTTTTTTTTTTTTGTTTGGTGGGTACGAGAGAAACATAATGCAGCAAATCCCCTTACATGAAGCTCAAGAGTCAATACAATCTCCAACAGTTCATTCTCATCCAGATGGACACGAGGTCCATTACCAGATATGCCTGAGAAAACCATGTACATATGTTAACCATACCCGCCTGAAACACTATAGAACCAGGTAGAGTTAATCCCATCAAGATTATCAATAGAAAAGCCCAACTTATGTTCCTTCACTGCACTACTTTTATATCTGGTATATTCCGTCATAAGATCTGAAATTTTCTTTGTCCCTGAAGCAAACATCATCGAAGTTCCTATCAACATTTTAAGTATGAAAAACGTCTCCATTAGTTGAGCAAATTGTAGAAGAAACGCACAAGGTTCCAAATATTCATATTGATTCTACTCCAAAAAATAATATCAACAATCCATAAAATCAGCCTAACTGAATAGCAATTTAGCAACCACACATTACTACAAAAAGATATATACAGAACTACCTGATTCTCCAAGTAACATGTGACTTCAAGATCTCAATTCATGCCTTAGCTCGAGCTTTGAAGAAGTTCAAGACAATCCTATAAAAATGAGTGAGGGTGAAAATCATTTGAAAAAATCCACGACCCTTTACAATCCCAATCCTTATGCCTCTGGCTGTTCTAGCTAGAACTGGTACTTTATCCTTCGCCTCCATCGGAGCTACCACCTGCACAGGCACTAAACAAGTAAAGATGATGTGAAATTCATCTCCCCAAATTACTATAAAAGACAACCGGTAAGACACTGCCAATTCTCAAATTAATAACCTGATGGAGACAGATTAGTCAACTGCCTCAATCTTTCCCCTGCCACCCGAACAGCTCGAGTAGAACTTTTGACACCTTGTGTAATTTCTTGACTGCAAAATCATCGAGACAAGTCAAATATAAAATCTGAAAATAATGATACAACTTATCAAGCAAAATTCAAGCTTCACCATATTATCCTCACCCAATGTCACTAAGCTCCATGGTTAGGTCACTTATCTCCATCCCAGATAATCGAACTGCAGCCATTGTATCAGGAAGCTCCTCTCTTGTGACGTCCATTAACTTCTCCAAAGACTCAGCTGCTCTCTTAAAAGCCTTCAAGAATATCACATTAGTCAATTATCATTTTCCTCACAGAAGCTAGTCCTATTTGCCAGTACGAACTCTAAAAAGCTAAAATTCAAACACATTTTACATCATAATTGCATTGATTTTATTTGGAAAAACGAAATTGCTTAACATGACAATGGGCCTTGGGATTCAATGACTTGTCACGTTGAATCCAGTTTGTCAATTCTTTGGTGGTACAAGACTCTAGCAATGATGCAAATCTAACAAATCACAGTTCTCTGATCCAAGATTATCAATCAATTACACCTAAACCATGATTAATATATTAAAATTCAATCTCCAATTTGCTTAAAGAAATTTGAGGGCCATCAAACTTAAATTCCCTTTTATAGTTAATGCATGAATTTCAACCAAAATGTTGACAAAACACCCAATGAACAGAACATGTTTGCAACTAAAAAAAATCCCATTGCTAACCAGCATTGTTGGAATCGCCCAGCAGAAAAGCCAGGTTGCTGATATTGCTACCTGCAAAAAAATCGATGAATCCCATATTAAGCAAACCTGAAAATTTGTAAATCTTTCCCACTCTTTCCTCATTTTACTCATTAGCTTTATTACATAACTCCAACTTTGCGCAGAATTTTGGGAAGTTATTATGCGCCAGAAATGGGCTTTTCTTTTTCTGTGCTTCATTTCAATCAAAATGTAGAGGGAACACTCGCACACACTACACACACACACACACAAAAACTGTAAATTTATTAGGTAAATCACTTCAATTAAAAACGTCAAACCTCATTCAGATGAACGTCCTTTTCATTTTACTCTTAATTTTTTTTTGGGAGCCGGGGGAAGGAAGAAGGAGGGGGGGGGGGGGGGGGATTCAGTTCAATCAAATTAAGAAAATATAAATTTTCAATCTACATTAACACAATCATCTAAAACACTTAAACCCAATTCAGTCTAGATAACTCCCACAAAATCATGGAATTTAATCAATTGATTTCATTAATTCCCTTAAAAAAAAAAACCAAAACGAAAGCGGTAAAGATCAAAATATGAAGAATTGAAATAAAAACATTAAATTAGAGAGAGTGATACCGTACCGCGCAAGCCGTGTAACTGAGAATGCTAAGGTGGCGACTGGACAGGGTCCATTGAACGGGAGATAAAGAAGATGATGATCCGACGGTGGAGGTCAGATGAGAGGATGAATCCGACGGCTCAGCTTGCTCCAAAGACACAGACACAAACCGCCGGTTTCTATTCAACGGTAAATTAAAACGGCGATGGTTACTGAATCCTCCGGCATTACACCTGGGATAAACTCGAGGCGGCGTCGTTTTTGGCTGAATTTTCAGTGTACTCAACATTTTCCTTCCACCCCTCTCTCCCTCTCTCACACTCTCACACAGTCACACGGTAGCTATACAGTAACAAACAATAATTAATAAGCGTGTAGTACTGCCAACTGTGTGTTGTGTGCGAGAGAAAAAGCGCTTCACTTCTTCTCTGAAGGAATTGCTCCCTCTCTTCGACATCTTCGAAGTGGCACACTGGCACTGATGAGTTTTTTTGAAGGATTTTGCAAGCCAGCTGTAACCGTAAGAATCAAGGATGAGGGTAATTTTGTCATTTAAGTTGGCTTGCCCGCACGTGAACTCGAGAAGCGATATCGTTATTAGCTTTTGCAGACCAAGATTTGTTTGGGTACTAAAGCAACAGTTGAAATGTCTATTTTGTCCCCTGTTTAAAATAATATGAAATATAAATTCATATTTCTTAAACTCAATTAGGCTTAATTAAGCTCGAATTGAGCTCAAATTGGGTTCAATTTGCACGATGTCGAGTTTGAATAAGACAAAACAAAATTGAACTCGATTTTTGAGAGTTAAACAAACTTGAATTTGAGCGAGTCCAAATTTTTTAATTCAAATCAAGTTCTATTAACATCACGTAACTTTTGCTAGGATGATTTTGTAATTTAAGTTGATACGTGCTTTTGACAATTTTTTTTTTTTTTTTTCATCACAGTGGGTATCTGGGGCCGATGACTGGTTACCGTACGCCCCAACTAATCCCACTGCGTGACCGCGAGAGGCTGCCCGACATCATCGGTCAATGGGGCCGAGGACTGGTTACCGTACGCCCCAACTAATCCCACTGCGTGACCGCGAGAGGCTGCCCGACATCATCGGTCAATGATAACGACTGGGATTCGATCCTTGGTTGGTGGCTCTCACCCAACTGGGCTACAACCACCGGACCGAACCCAGACTGGGCGATACGTACTTTTGACAATTGAGTGCTAGGTTTTAACATATTACTGTTTCAAAAATTGTCTTTAACAAATTACATACAAATTGTTGAAAGAGTTGTACACAGTTTCTCAAAATTGAATGCAGAGCCAACTGTAACTTACTTCAAACTTGGATTCAATTAAATACAACTGTGAGTCCTCAATGCAACTTTTAGACCTCTATTGAAGGCGAAAATTTTCAGACCAAATCTTGGGTTCTTAAGAAGCACCTCTATTGCCATCGAACCGTTGTCAGCCCTACTATTTAGAATGATTTACAATATAGGCAATGAATTCTATCTTAACAAATTGTAAATGAACACACACACAAAAAAAATATATTAAAACTTCTCTATTTCAGGAAATAAATGGTAAAAACACACGCAAACTTGTGTTCTTGAACAGGAACAGAGGAGAGCAGGCAAACACAGAGGCTGGAAAGATTTCATTTCGATTGAAACTCGTGTATTTACAAAGTAATGCCCTCAAATTCTGCTAACAAAACTTCAGCCCTACCCCAATTTTTCCATCCCCTGTGATTTTTTTTTTTTTTTTTTTTTTATCACCTTCCAAGCCTATCTATCTATCTATATACACTGATAAAATTCTGCCTTGCAATGATGAAGCTAAAAATGTAGCATGTTCGACCTATAAGGTACACCATTTTCCTCTTTAGATATAGTCAGAAGCTTCACGGAAGAGCCCCAATCCGAAACCAAAGAAAAGAAACAAGAAGAAACTACCACTAATGAGAAAAAACAAATAAGAGAGTGTTGAGAGGAAGACCTCATGCCGTATTTGCTGCTTCTGCTTCAGTTCTCACAACTTCTGTGACAGTTGCATTACAGAAGAAGCATCTCTGGCAGTTAAGGAGGTGCCTCGTTATGCATCCAAAGCAAGAAGAATGAGAACAAGGTACGAACTGAGCATTTGCTTCACATGCATAACAGATGCAGCATATGTTTTCATCAGAATTACTTTCTCCGGCACAAACCATCCGCTCAAATTCTTGTGACTCCTTCTGGCATATCAGCAGGCTTGATAAGGTCTCTAGCTGCTTGAGCTTTGAGATATCATCAACACCCTTAACCAAACCAGCCTACAAGTTCATGAACAAGATTTAGCAAAAAGATAAAATGGAAAGAATGGATATACAATCTTCCGAAAACCACAAGTTGAACATTGAATTATTATACCACCAAGAAAAGAGTTGCTATCGCCCTAAACAAACCATACGTATAATCTGGGCCACCAAGAACTCCATTGCCCCTGAATTTTTTTTTTTTTTAAAACCATATATGCCCATGGGCATAATTCTACCAACTTGAAAAGCAAAATAAATTGAAAAAAAAAAAAAAAGACAAGCTATTAATGTATTATGTAATACTCCAAACGCATCTAAGGAGAGAACAGAATCAATTACTAACCCAATTGTATTCTAAGAGGTAGAATCCACGAAGGACAGTCTCAGCACAGTCCATGCTAGCAAATATATTGACAATGTCATTATGATCTCCATAGTCTGCCTCTTGTCTAGCATCCAACAAATTCAAAATGATGCCAGCCAGCGGTCCTAAGATCATGCCAACATTAACCTTCTCTGGAGACTGACCAGGACGCCTAATGGACCTGCAAGAATAGCATAAAGAAATCTGAAGAATAAGTTCTGAAATATCTTATTCCCATAAGTTCCAATCTTGCAACCAACTTATTCTCCTCCTAGAAGTTCACAACAAACTTGTTTTGTGAAAAACCAACATTGAGATACATACAAGGGCAAATCTTGCAATACCACTAAATTCAGTCATCTGAACTTAAAACTTTTACAACTGCATCAAACTTGGAGGGATAAACCAAACTCCTGTAGTTCATTAATTTTTTTTTTTTTAAAGCATAGTCCACTTTCATATGCAAGAAGGATAAAATGAACTGATCAATATGATTAAGCAGTATTTCACGTGGACGAATTATATACAACACTGCATGCACATCAATTGAAATTTGTCGATAACCAACTTCTGTGGTTTATACTTATAAGCATTCTCCTAGATATAAAGTCAACAGGGAAACCAAAATTTCAGGGAAACATCAACTAAACTTCTGGATTTTTCCCTATCCTTAGTTAGCCTTATGAGCATATACAATCTAAATAAATTCTTGCTCTTCCATTGTTTGCTTTGCAGGTACTAAGGCTTTAGATTGAGATGAATTACTAAATTTCTAGACCACAAGAAATTACAAAGCCTCGTTCCTAAACCTAACAAAACCAAAATGCAGTACACAAAAAATTTAGGAAACTATAACAGCACTTCTACCACCACAAATATGTTAACTAATGTTATCATCCATCTATCCAAGAAAACAGTACATGAATGAAGAGCAGCAAGAAAGATTAGGATAGCACACCACAGAAGTCGAGATTCGTCATAAGTGACAACATGTTAAATGTAACAAGAACATCCACAAACTTACAGGTCTAGAAATTCTGGATCAACTGACGAAGTCAATTGGTTAAGTATAAACACGATTAATTCAGTCAGCCTTCTCAAATTTGTATCTGCCCCCGAAAGAAATGCTTGGGGTATCTCACGAGTACAGAACTCTAACACCCTTGCAAGGTTACAAGAGAGATCAAATATAACACTACATTTCCTCTGCTGAAACTCCACCACCTAAAAAGGATGCCACAAGAATGTCAAGGAAACAGATGGAGGAAAAAATAGACAATAACTTGATCCAAATATTCAGTTCTTTCCCTAAAAACTTCACTGCCAGTGGATATGGCCTGACCTATCGAAGAATGTATTTACCTCTATCTCGCATCCAACTCACATGCAGTCTATGCATAAATGAAGTCAATAACAGGAGATAATTTCATTATCCATTAAAATCAATTAGAAAAAACTACTGACATCGAAGAACATGAAAATCAACCACAGTAGGGGTGATAAAATGAATAGGTACAGCCTCACAAGCCAACTACCTGATAGTTCTCCTGCATTTCTCGAATTGAAACAGAGAATTCAGTCATTGACCAGCTCAGGGTGTTAAACAGACGATTGAGAAAAGCTGAAAAAAGTTCTTCATCCTGAACACAAGCATCTCGCAGCAATTTCTGTAAAAAGTAAAAGAACACTTCAACTATATTTGTTAATGGATGTACAATAAAAGAGTTAATGATCAAAATATTATCAAAAGAACGAAAGCATGACGGGTCTTACCTGGAAAACAACTGATGATGATGACTCACCACGCTTGGAAGAACCAAAACCGGATCCTTTGCAAAGCCGCACAAGAATATTTGTTACAGGGACCCAGGACCTATTATCAAAAGCTGATAATAGTGCTTTGGGCATTCTCTGTATTGCTGCTTCATTATGCTCAAAAACTGCTAAAAATTCTTTGTACTGTATCAAGACGGATATAGACTGCAGAAGAAGATCTTTCAGCTCGGCACTCGATATCCTTGGATCATTAAAGTGGGTGACAGCAAAAGTAACCTGAACCCAAAATGCCCAAAGCAACTAAATAATAGACCTAGATATATATGCAATTGATCCTAAAAAGCAAGGCAAAATATGCAACACCAACCAATGAAGCAAGGAAACTACAAAGTTAATCCAATATATAATTTTCTTGACAAAATGCTTAAGTTTTTCTACGGTAAAACTCAATGATCATAATGAGAAGCCAATCATTTTGGAAGGTTACACATATTGAGACAATCCTCTCCGAGCAGGACATCAGAGAAGGGCATGTGGGTATGGATGGCAAGGGGCACCAGGGTAATGTTTTCACTTGATACTAGCTAGAAATACCACATTCAAACAGATCTTGGATTAATACTATCTAGACATGCTTAAAGAGACATAAATCTTCAACAAACTATATCTGCCAGAAAAAATAGTGATACATCAGATCACAGTCAACTTTTGAAAGTTTGAAGGGAATAAAAACAAGGCACATATGCATGGTATAATATATATTAATTAGATAGAAAAGGTGTAGGGGGAGGGGGGAGAGGCTTCAGACGTACAAAAGAAGCGAGTCCTTGCTTCATGAATATTGCAGGAGGGACAAAAGGAGGATCACTCTTACGCAGCACATGGAAAGAGTCAACCTGCCATGTGCATAAGTATAACATATAAGAAGACGCAGAAAATACCAATAAAAACAATTTAATGTCAGTTCTACACCTAAACAGCAAAAGAAAGACAAACAAATGAACTAAGATCCATGTAAAACTAGCATTGATATACAGCATAT